TAGAAACGTGAAAATTTGAAAAATTGAAAAATCGAAATATTTAAAAACCGTAAAATTGAAGAGGACAAAAATTGAGAAATCGTATGATTGAAACATCGTAAAATCGAGAAATCGAAACATAAAAAAATCAAAAAAATTAAAATTGGAAAATCTAAAATTTAAAAATCGAGAAATTGAACAATCGGTTAATTCAAAAATCGAAACATCGAAAAATTGGAAAATCGAAAAATAAAAAAAAAATGGACAATCGAAAATTTAAAAATTCCGAAAATTGAAAAATTGAAATATAGAGAACTGAAAACTCAAAAAATCGAAAAAAATTAATAATTTCAAAAATTGAAAAGTTAAAATTGAGAAATCGAAAAACTGAAAAATCTCAAAATTGAACGAAATGTCAAAAAATTAGGAAATTAAAAAATTAAGAAACAAAAAAGTCAAAAAAGCAGAGTCTAAAAATCGCAAACTTAAAAAATCAAAAAATTGAATAATCAAAAACCTGAATATCCGAAAAATTGAAGAACTGAAGAACTGAAAAATCGAAACTTTGGGAAGTGAAGAAATGGGAATATAAAAAAATAGATTAATCGAGAAATCCGAAAACTAAAAATTCAGAAACGACAAAATTTGAAAAATAAAAAAATATTGAAGAAGTAAAAAATCGAAAAATCTAAAATTTAAAACATTGAAAACTTAAAATATCCTAAAACTGAAAAATGGAGAAATCCAAACATCAAAAAATCAAAAAAAAAATAAATAAAAATAAAAATCTAAAATTTAATAATCGAAAAACTGAAAAATCAACGAATCGAAGTCGAGAATTTAAAAAATTGGACAATTGAAAAATCGGATAAATCAAAAATCGAAACATCGAAAAATCGAGAAACCGAAAAGCAAAAAATCGAAAAACCAACAAATCGAAAAATCGAAACATTCTAAAATTCAAAAATTGAGTCATCGAGAAATCGAAAAATCAAAAGACAAAAAAAATCGAGGAGTCGAAAAATCAAGAAGTCGAAAAATCGAAAACTTAAATATGGAAAAATTGATAAAGCGAGAGATTGAATAATCAAAACATCGAAACATCCGAATCTCAATGAATTGAGATCTAAAAAAATTTAAACATTCGTAAATTTAAAAAATTAAAATATAGAACTGGAAACTCGAGAAACTGAAAAATCTAGAAATTTAAAAATTAAAATATGAAAAAGTTGAAAAATTGAGAAATTGAAATAAAAAACAAAAAACTGAAAATCCAAAAATAAAAAATAGAAAAATCTAGAAGTCGAAAAATGAAAGAATCGGAGTATTGAAAAATATCAAAACTGAAAGAAATATCCAAAAATTGAGAAATCGACAAACCAATAAAGCGAAGTCGAAAAATCGAAGAATTGAAGAACTGAAAAATCGAAACTTTGAGAAGTGGGAAAATCAAAAATAGATTAATTGAGAAATCAGAAAACTGAAAATGTAACGCAAAAATTTGAAAAATTCAAAAATTTAAATACTGAAGAACTGAAAAGTCAAAAAATCGAGAAATCGAAAAAACCAAAATTTAAAACAATGAATAATTAAAATATCGCAAAATTGAAGAAACGAGAGATCCAATTCAATTTGAAAAATTGAAAAATCGGGGTATTGAAAAATTAGAAAATCCAGAAATTGAAAAGCTCAAAAGAAAAAAATCGAAAAACCGAGAAACCCAAAAATCGAAACATCGAAAAATTCAAAAACTGAGACTTCGAGAAATCGAAATATCGGAGGATCGAGAAATTGAGGAGTCGGAAGCCGAAAAGGAAAGTTAAAAATTGGAAAATTGAGAAATTGAACAATCAAAACAACGAAACATCTGAATTCGATAAATTGAGAAATTAAAGAATTGAATAATCGAAAAATTTTAAAAAAGAAAAACTGGAAAATCAAAAATTAAAATTCAAAGAATCGAAAAATTGAAATATTGAAAAATCTCATAACTGAAAGAAATATTCAAAAAATTGAGAAATTAAAAAATTGGAAAATTGAGAAATCGAAAATCTAAAAAAGCAAAATTGAAAAATCGTAATCTTAAAAAATCGAAAAATTGAGGAATTGAAGACGTGAAAAATCGAAACTTTAGAAAATCCAGAAATGGCCAAATAAAAAAAAAATACTTTAGAAATCGGCAAACTGAAAATTTAGAAACGTGAAAATTTGAAAAATTGAAAAATCGAAATATTTAAAAACCGTAAAATTGAAGAGGACAAAAATTGAGAAATCGTATCATTGAAACATCGTAAAATCGAGAAATCGAAACATAAAAAAATCAAAAAAATTAAAATTGGAAAATCTAAAATTTAAAAATCGATAAATTGAACAATCGGTTAATTCAAAAATCGAAACATCGAAAAATTGGAAAATCGAAAAATAAAAAAAATGGACAATCGAAAATTTAAAAATTCCGAAAATTGAAAAATTGAAATATAGAGAACTGAAAACTCAAAAAATCGAAAAAAATTAATAATTTCAAAAATTGAAAAGTTAAAATTGAGAAATCGAAAAACTGAAAAATCTCAAAATTGAACGAAATATCAAAAAATTAGGAAATTAAAAAATTAAGAAACAAAAAAGTCAAAAAAGCAGAGTCTAAAAATCGCAAACTTAAAAAATCAAAAAATTGAAAAATCAAAAACCTGAATATCCGAAAAATTGAAGAACCGAAGAACTGAAAAATCGAAACTTTGGGAAGTGAAGAAATGGGAATATAAAAAAATAGATTAATCGAGAAATCCGAAAACTAAAAATTCAGAAACGTCAAAATTTGAAAAATAAAAAAATATTGAAGAACTAAAAAATCGAAAAATCTAAAATTTAAAACATTGAAAACTTAAAATATCCTAAAACTGAAAAATGGAGAAATCCAAACATCAAAAAATCAAAAAAAAAAAATAAAAATAAAAATCTAAAATTTAATAATCGAAAAACTGAAAAATCAACGAATCGAAGTCGAGAATTTAAAAAATTGGACAATTGAAAAATCGGATAAATCAAAAATCGAAACATCGAAAAATCGAGAAACCGAAAAGCAAAAAATCGAAAAACCAACAAATCGAAAAATCGAAACATTGTAAAATTCAAAAATTGAGTCATCAAGAAATCGAAAAATCAAAAGACAAAAAAAATCGAGGAGTCGAAAAATCGAGAAGTCGAAAAATCGAAAAATCGAAAACTTAAATATGGAAAAATTGATAAAGCGAGAGATTGAATAATCAAAACATCGAAACATCCGAATCTCAATGAATTGAGATCTAAAAAAATTTAAACATTCGTAAATTTAAAAAATTAAAATATAGAACTGGAAACTCGAGAAACTGAAAAATCTAGAAATTTAAAAATTAAAATATGAAAAAGTTGAAAAATTGAGAAATTGAAATAAAAAACAAAAAACTGAAAATCCAAAAATAAAAAATAGAAAAATCTAGAAGTCGAAAAATGAAAGAATCGGAGTATTGAAAAATATCAAAACTGAAAGAAATATCCAAAAATTGAGAAATCGACAAACCAATAAAGCGAAGTCGAAAAATCGAAGAATTGAAGAACTGAAAAATCGAAACTTTGAGAAGTGGGAAAATCAAAAATAGATTAATTGAGAAATCAGAAAACTGAAAATTTAACGCAAAAATTTGAAAAATTCAAAAATTTAAATACTGAAGAACTGAAAAGTCAAAAAATCGAGAAATCGAAAAAACTAAAATTTAAAACAATGAATAATTAAAATATCACAAAATTGAAGAATCGAGAGATCCAATTCAATTTGAAAAATTGAAAAATCGGGGCATTGAAAAATTGGAAAATCCAGAAATTGAAAAGCTCAAAAGAAAAAAATCGAAAAACCGAGAAATCCAAAAATCGAAACATCGAAAAATTCAAAAACTGAGACATCGAGAAATCGAAAAATCGGAGGATCGAGATATGGAGGACTCGGAAGCCGAAACGGAAAGTTAAAAATTGAAAAATTGATAAATTGAGAAATTGAACAATCAAACCAACGAAACATCTGAATTCGATAAATTGAGAAATTAAAAAACTGAATAATCGAAAAATTTCAATAAAAGAAAAACTGGAAAATCGAAAATTAAAATTAAGAAAATCGAAAAATTGAAATATAGAAGAATTGAAAACTCGAGATATCGAAAAACATAGAATTTAAAAAAATTAAATATTAAAACGTCGAAGAGTTGAAAAATTGAGAAATCGATGTACAAAACAGTCGCAGAATTGAAAAATCTAAAGTTTACAATAAATTGAAAATCCAAAAAGTAAAAAATCGAGAAATCAAAAAAAATCCATCAATTCAAAAATCGAAAAGACGAAAAATTGAAATATTGATAATCTCATATCTGAAAGAAATATTCAAAAAATTGAGAAATTAAAAAATTGGAAAATTGAGAAATCGAAAATCTAAAAAAGCAAAATCGAAAAATCGCAATCTTAAAAAATCGAAAAATTGAAGAATTGAAGATGTGAAAAATCGAAAAACCGAAAATTTAGAAACGTGAAGAGGACAAATATGGAGAAATCGTATTATTGAAACATCGAAAAATAAAAAAATCGAGAAATGGAAAATTTGAAGAATGGAAGAATTGGAAAAGCCCAAAATTGAAATCTTGAAAAATTGAGACATTTAAAGTTGCTTCATATTTTTTATGACAAGCATATTTTCATATTTTGTACATATATGTTTATACACATTACTGTTTACGGAACAATGTTAATTATGGATTTATGGATAACTCCTCGTATAAGAGCAGAGTGAAGGGTGTTTGCCTTTGCTAATGTTTGATGGCGCCATCTGATTTAGAGTAAAATAAATCTAATACGTTGGCTCACTGTAGTGAAAATGCGCGTTGATGAAAAATTTGTCCCACGCCCCCTGGATTCCTTGTCCTAAAGCTCACTATTTAGGCGAAGTAAAATTTGTACTACGTTGTCCAACTATAATATACTTAAACAATTGTCATACTCACCTAGTAAGTTATAAATGCTAGCGAACATGAAATTGAGCCTTATTCGGTTCACTGTCTTGCGCGACAACTCGAGACAGGCCACCACGTCTAAGAGGTCGTTGCGCATAAGTACCACGTGGGCCGCCTCCACGGCGACGTCGGTCCCAGCGGCTATGGCCATCCCCACGTCGGCTTGCGCCAACGCCGGACTGTCGTTGACGCCGTCGCCCACCATGGCCACCCGCAGCCCCCTTGCTTGCAGTCTTTGAACTCTCGCTACCTTGTGTGATGGAAGTACCTCAGCGTACACTTTCGCGATCCCTACTTGTTTGGCTATACTGGCGGCGGTTTGGCGGTTGTCGCCCGTCAACAAAATCACCTCCAACCCCATTTTCTTCAAGGAGTAGACGGCCAGGTGCGCTTCGGGTTTAACAGCGTCGGCGACGCTCACCATCGCCACCATGTCCCCGTCAATCACACACAACACAGCTGATCTACCTTGCTCCTCCTCCGCCACCATCCTCCTATCAACGTCGTCCGGCACCAGAAACCCGTTCCGGTTCATCCACTCCCTATTTCCAATCACGACGTCGTAAGACCCCGCCCCTTCATCTCTAGCCCCGCCCATTCCGATCAACTGACCCAACTGGAAGTTCTGGGTGTTACTAACTTCAACGTCGACTCCGTTCAAGCTAAACACCCCGGATTTCCCAGACGACACTAGCGACATTATCGCACTCATCTCCTTGTTGTTTTTGGCGTTTTTAACCACGCCTGCGAGGGTGGACACCGTCACTTTCATGCCACACCCCGGTACCGCCTGGAAGTTCAAACTAGTACCACCCAAATTGCTCCCAATGGCTTCTCGAGTGAATTTGGTGATAGCGGAAGCTATGGGATGCTCGGAATTGGCTTCAGCGCAGCCGATCGCCCCGAGGATCAAGGCGGGGCTGAGGGCGTCGCCTTTGAGCCACACCCGCGCCACCTCGGGCAGGCCCTTCGTGATCGTGCCGGTTTTGTCGAACATGATTGCTTTGACTTTGTGGGCGTTCTCGAGCGGCTCCGCCCCTTTGATCAGGATGCCGTTGACGGCGCCGATTCCCGTGCCCACCATGACCGCGGTGGGCGTGGCTAGGCCTAAGGCGCACGGACAGGCGATGGCCAGGACGCTCAAGGCGCAGCGGAAGACGAATTGGAGGATGACTTCGGTTTTGGTGAAGCCGTGTTTTTCGCGGTCGGTGACGGGGAGGGCGTCGAAGTTCACGGCGCCTACTATGGACCAGATGATGAGGGTGAGGAGGGAGAGGAAGACGACGGTGGGGACGAAGTAGCCGGCGATTTTGTCGGCGAGTTGTTGGATGGGGGCTTTGGAGGTTTGGGCCTCTTCGACTAGTTTGACGATTTGGGAGAGGGTGGTGGCCTCGCCGGTGTGGGTGGCCTCGACGATGAGGAGGCCGTGCTGGTTGATGGAACCGCCTATTACGCTGCTGCCGATTTTTTTTAGGACGGGCATGCTTTCGCCGGTGATGAGGCTTTCGTCGCACATGGACTGGCCCTGCAATAGAAAATTGAGGGTTATTTTGAGAGAACTTCCCATGTTTTTGGAGTGCACTAGAACAAATACAGGTTCTCTGAAATATTGTTTAACAAAAATTAGTATCAAAATCGAAAAATGTAAAAATTAAAAAATTAGAAAGTTTAAAATTTGAAAAAAAAACGTAAATTAAAAAAATTGAAAAATCTAAAAATCGGGAAATTGAACAAACATCAAAACAAAAAATTTAACAACCGAAACATTGACAAGTCCAAAAATCAAAAATTTTAAATCGAAAAACTGAAATATTTAAAATTAAATTCAAAATAAAAAAAAATTTAAAAACTCGAAAATCGGGTGATCTCGAAGCATAAAAAAAAATTGAAGAATATATAATCAATTTGAAAAAAACGAAAAATTAAAATCTCGAAAAATTTAACAAACCAGATTTTGAAAAGTTCCCAAAATTGAAATGTTGAAAAATTGAGAAATCAAAAACTTGAAAAAATCGAGAAATAGAGAAATTGTAAAATTCTAAAAATCCTGAAACCGAGATGTAGATAATTCGAAAAATTGAAGTATTAAAAATTAAACAATTGGGAAATGAGAGAATTTAAAAAAAATGAAAAACTGTAAAATCAAAATGAAAAATTGAAGAACCGAAAAACTGAAAAATCGAGAAATCGAAAAATCCAAAAACCGAAAATTAAAAAATAAAAAATAAATTAAAAATTTTAAAAATCAAAAAATTGAAAAATCGAAAAGTTGAAAAATAGAAAAATATGAAAAAAAAAATTAAAAACTGAAGAAACGAAAAACTCAAAAATTGAAAAACTAAAAAATTCCAAAGTTGAAATCTCGAAAAACTGGGAAATCGAAACATTGAAAATTGGAAGATCGAGAACTCGAAAAGCCGAAAGTCAAAAAATCGAAAAACCGAGAAATCAGGACCGAAATATTGAAATCGAAAACAAAAATTTCAAAAAAAGAAAAATTGAGATATTGAAAAATTGAAAAGTCAAAGATTTTAAAAATCGAAAAATTGTAAAACCGAAAAATCGAGCAATCGAAACTTCAAAAAAATCGAAAAATCTACAATCAAAAAATTAAAAAATTGAAAAATTGAAAACCCCGAAATTCAGCAATCGAAACTTCAAAAAATTCGAAGAATATACAATTAAAAAAAGCGAAAAATTGAAAACTGAAAAATTGAGAATTGAAAAATTGAAAATTGAAAAACTGAAAAACTTGAAATTGAAAAATTTAAATTAAAAAATTGAAAATTTAAAAAGTGAAAGAAATTGAAAAGTTAAAAATTGAAAAACTGATACTTGAAGAATTGAAAATTAGAAAATTGAAAACTGAAAACTTAAAAATTGAAAAATCCTAAAATCAAAATTTTTAAAAACGAAAAATTTAAAAGCCCGAAAATTCAGCAATTGAAACATCAAAAAATTGAAGAATATACAATTAAAAAAGCGAAAAATTGAAAACTGAAAAACTGAAAAATTGAGAATTGAAAAATTGAAAATTGAAAAATTGAATTCAAAAAGTGAAAATTAAAAATCGAAGAATAAAAAATTTTTAAAACCGAAAAATTGAAAAACTCGAAATTCTGCAATCGAAAGTTCAGAAAATTCGAGAATATACAATTAAAAAAAGCGAAAAATTGAAAACTGAAAAACTGAAAAATTGAGAACTGAAAAATTGAAAATTGAAAAATTGAAAAACTTAAAATTGAAAAATTTAAAATTAAAAAATTGAAAATTGAAAAAGTGAAAAAAATTGAATCGAAGTTAAAAATTTAAAAACTGAAACTTGAAGAATTGAAAATTGAAAAAATTGATACTTGAAGAATTGAAAATTAGAAAATTGAAAACTGAAAACTTAAAAATTGAAAAATCCTAAAATAGAAAATTTTTAAAATCGAAAAATTTAAAAGCCCAAAAATTTAGCAACCGAATAATCAAAAAATCGAAGAACGAAAAAAATCAAAAAATCAAAAAAAATGAAAAATTGAAAATTGAAAAACTGAAAAATTGAGAACTGAAAAATTGAAAATTGAAAAATTGAAAATTGAAAAATTGAATTCAAAAATTGAAAATGGGAAAATTGAAAACTGAAAATTTAAAAATTGAAAATTAAAAATCGAAGAATCAAAAATTTTTAAAACCGAAAAATTGAAAAACTCGAAATTCTGCAATCGAAAGTTCAAAAAATTCGAGAATATACAATTAAAAAAAGCGAAAAATTGAAAACTGAAATACTGAAAAATTGAGAATTGAAAAATTGAAAAACTTAAAATTGACGAATTGAAAATTGAAAAAATTAATACTTGAAGAATTCAAAATTCGAAAATTGAAAACTGAAAACTTAAAAATTGAAAAATCCTAAAACCAAATAAAAAATATTTGGTTTTAGGATTTTTCAATTTTTAAGTTTTCAGTCGAAAAATTTAAAAGCCCGAAAATTCGGCAATCGAAGCAGCAAAAAATTGAAGAATATACAATTAAAAAAGCGAAAAATTGAAAACTGAAAACTTAAAAATTAAAAAATCCTAAAATCAAAAATTTAAAAGCCCGAACATTCAGCAATCGAAACACCAAAACATCGAAGAACGAAAAAAATCAAAAAATCAAAAAAATGAAAAATTGAAAACTGAAAAACTGAAAAATTGAGAACTGAAAAATTGAAAACTGAAAAATGAAAAGTTGAAAATTGAAAAATTGAAAATTGCAAATTGAAAAATTGAATTCAAAAATTGAAAACGGGAAAATTGAACACTGAATATTTAAAAATTGAAAATCGAAAAATCAAAATTTTTTAAAACAGAAAAATTGAAAAACCCGAAAATTCAGCAATGGAAACATCAAAAAATCGAAGAATATGCAATTAAAAAAAGCGAAAAATTCAAGACTGAAAAACTGAAAAATTTAGAATGGAAAAATTGAAAATTGAAAAATTGAGGATTGAAAAATTGAAAAACTTAAAATTGAAAAATTTAAAATTAAAAAATTGAAAATTGAAGAATTGAAAATTAGAAAATTGAAAACTTAAAAATTAAAAAATCCTAAAATCAAAAATTTTTTAAATTGAAAAATTTAAAAGCCCGAAAATTCAGCAATTGAAACACCAAAAAATCGAAAAACGAAAAAAATCAAAAAATCAAAAAAATGAAAAATTGAAAACTGAAAAATTAAAAATTGAAAAATCGAAAATGGAAAAATTAAAATCTCGAAAAATTTAAAAACCACGCTTTGAAAATTTCCCAAAATTGAAATGTTTAAAATTGAGAATTCGAAAACTTCAAAAATCTAAAAATCGAAAAACTGAAGAATTTTAAAAATCAAAAAACCGAGAAATTTAAAAACATAAATCCCAAAACTGAACTGAAGGATGAATTATCGAAAACTGAAAATTGAAAAATCAAACAATCTAGAAGTCGAGAAATCTGTAATTTATTGGATTAAAAAATTAAGATATACAAAAATTGAAAATCGAAAAATCGGAATATCAAAAAATTGAAAAATTCAAGAATTCAAAAATCTAAAATTCAAAAGTCGAAACATCGAAAACCCGAGAAATCAAAAATTTTATATTTAAAAATACTGAAAAATTGAAAATCAAGAAACCGGGAGATTAAAAAATCAAAAAATAAAAAAATTCAAAATTTAAAAATCGAAAAACCCAAATTTTAAAAAATTGTGCAACCGAGAAGTCGAAAAATCGAAAGATCGAGAAATCGGAAGTTGAAAAATTGAAGGATCGAAATATGTATCGAAAAATCCCAAAACTGAAACGACGAAAAATCAAAAAATCGGAAAATCGAAAAATGTAAAATTTAAGAAAACCAAAAATTGAAAAAGCGAAAAACTTAAGAAAACAAAAATCGAAGAACAACTTAAAAAATGGAAAATTTGAACAAACTCAAAACGAAAACATCGGAAAAATAAGAAATCGAAAAATAAAAAATCGAGAAATCGAAAATTTGAAAAATTGTTATTACAGAATTTTGATTTTTTTTTCAAAAATGTCGCCATACAAGATCAAATTCAACACGGATTTATAAACCACAAGTTGAGCACTAGCTTACTTTTAACCACAAGTTACCGTAGTTTATAAAAAAATTCTAATAATTTTCTTGTCTAATAAAAATTGACACAGACGACCGACAGACAAACAGACAGACAGACCTACCTGTAACACTTTTCCATCCACCGGCACCTTGGCCCCGGGCACGACCTTCAGCACGTCCCCCCTCTGCACCAAATCCACGTGCACCAACGTCTCGCTGGCGACCTCCCCCTTCGGCCCCAACTTAACCAAAACCGCGTCCGTCGCCTTCAGCGACAGCAACTTCGACAGCGCCTCCGACGTCTTCCCTTTGGCGATGTGCTCCAACCACCTCCCCAGACTGATAAACACCAGCAACATCGGCGGCGTGTCGAAGAACGTCTGCGGCGAGGTCTTCTGCTTGAGCGCCATGGCCACGACCACCACGATCAAGCTATACGTGTACGAGATCGACGTGGCCATCGCTATCAGCACGTCCATGTTGGTAGTCCTGTGCTTCAGCGCTTTGTACGCCTGGACGAAGAAGTGGCGCCCGCCGAGGAGTAAAACCGGCGTCGACAGCACCCACATGATCAAGTTCTCCAGCGACAGTCCAGGCACCACGCAGCACATGTCTTCGTGCGACATATGTCCGGTGGACATAAGGGTCATGAAGTACAACATGGCGATCATGCAGGGTCCGCCGAACCCCAAGGAGAAGAAAAACGCCGCTTTCCACCTGCGGATTTCCTCTTTTTGCTCCAGGTACTCGTTGCCGTGCTCCCGGTCGAAGAGTCTAGCTTGGAAGCCCATTTTGTTGATGGCTTCGATGATGTCCCTCGCGCCTGTGACCTCGGGGTCGAACTTGAACTTGCCCCGTTTCGTCGGAAGCGCCACTTTCGCCATCAGGACTCCCTGCACTTTGGCGACGTTGGTTTCGATTTTGTGGACGCAGCTCGAGCACGTCATCCCCGAGATCTCCAGGTCGACGACGGACTCGCCGGCGCCGGATTGCTGGAGCACGGAGGCGGGGAAGCCCAGCTCGGTGACGGAGGCGGCGATCTCGTTGGGGGAGATCAGCGACGGGTCGTACTGGATCTCGGCGCGCGCCGCCAACAGCGACACCAGGATCTTGTGGCACCCGGGGAGCTTCTGCACGTGCTTCTCGATGGCGGCGACGCAGCTGCCGCACGTCATCCCCTTGACGTGCAGCTGGCACTTCTCCACGTTGATGTCGTCGTGCGAGGCGGGCGGGGCTTGGCGGCGCGCGGGCGTGGCTTCGGCCGGCCGCCCGTCGACGGTCTTCACGTGCGACTCGAAGCCCATGTCGTCGACCTGCTCGACGACTTGGGCGGGGCTGATCAGGGCGGGGTCGTAGCGGACCACGCCCTCTTTATCCGAAAGCGAGACGGACACTGACGTTACGCCCTTTTGTGTGGATAGCATACCTACAAGACACAAATAAACAAATAAAGACACACGAATTCAAGTAAGCACACCTTCTATGCTCTGGACGCACGATTTGCACGTCATCCCCTCGATGTGTATTCGACACTCTCGGCTGGCCCCGCCCCCGGGTGCCGCCAGCGCCGCCTCGAAGCCCATGTCGTCGATGAAGTCGCATATCTGCGCAGGCGTCAGCTGTCGCGTGTCGTAGTGAACCAAAGCCGCCTTCTCCTGGAGGCTGACCTTGATGCTGTAAACGCCCGGTTTCCGGCTGAGGTTGTCCTCTATGCTGCGGACGCAACTCTGGCACGTCATTCCCAGGACTGTAATTTTGACGGTTTCATCTTCGGCGATTGTTATCACCGTGGGTTCGTTGGGGTTGTAGTCACCTGTGGGGGCTAGTAAGGAGACGGCTTCGCTTTCGGTTTTTTCGTCGATGAGGGGCTCGAAGCCGAGGGATTGGGTGGCGTCCCTGTGGTTGCAAAAGAGAGGCTTTTTAATTTTTCGATTTACAACCAACAGTTGTAAACAACGGAGGGTGTACCCTCTTATTATTACGTGATTATGTGAAAATTGTTGTTGTTTGTTTTTTTACTTCTGATAACGCTTTTGATTACAAAACGTGGACATGATATCGCTGATATCAGTACAGACGGCAGGTGAATATCTAAATTAAACATCGACCTGCTCGAGCACTTTTCACATAATCAAGTACGTTGTCTGCGATCCCGTCTGTTTCGTTTTATTTGGATCAATTTGAATATTAAATTGTGCAACTTGTTGCTGTGTACTGAAACTATTTGCTAAAATTAGACTGCTCCGCCTCCTCACTGCGGGTTTCCATAATCCATAAACACTTAAATATTTCTCGATTTTTCAAGCTTTGATTTCTCAATTTTTCAATTTCAATTTACATAGACAGATAGACAGATAGATAGATAAAGTTTATTGCACAAGAGTACAAAAGGTTAGATAAAAGTGCATCCTGATAGATTGACTAACCGAAGAATTAGATAGATGATGATTTATATTAAAATTTCGACTCTTCAATTTTTCGATCTCCCAATTTCCGGATGAACTAAATTTTTGTTTTCCCCATTTTCCTCGACTGTTCAGTTTCTCAATTCTTCGATATTTCAATTTTTAGATTTTCGGTTTTTTAATTTAGATTTTTCAATTTTTCGAATTTTTAAATCTTAAGATTTTTGAGATGTTGATGTTTCCATTCCTCCATCTTCCGATTTTTCGACTTCCCGATTTTAGTTTTTCGATTTTAAAAATTTTTGATTTTGCAACTTCTCGAATTTTTTAATTTTCTGTTTTTTGATGATTTTTTGAATTTTTCAAGTTTCCAATTTCTCGATTACTTGATTTTTTTGACTTTTCCCTTTCTCGATTTTTCGACTTTTCAGTGTTTCGATTGTTCAGTTTTTCATTTCTTCGATTTTCCAATTTTTCAATTTTCACTTTTTTGACTTCTCAATTTTTCGATGTTTTGGGATTTTTCAATTTTTCGGTTTTTCAATTTTTTAAATTTCAGATTTGTCAATTTTTGGATATTTTAATTTTCCAATTTTTAAATTTTTGACGATTTTAAATTTTCAATTTTTCGGTTAATTAATTGTTTGTTCTTCCCACTTCCTGATTTCTCGACTTTTCAATGCTTCGATTGTCCGGTTTCTCAATTCTTCGATTTTTTTGATGTTTCGATTTCCCGATTTTTTAATTTTTCGATTTCGATTTTTCAATTTTTCGAATTTTTAAACCTTAGTGTATTCAGGTTTTCATTTCTCCGTCTTCCAATTTTTCGACTTCCCGGTGTCAGTTTTTTTGGTTTTTCAATTTTTCGATGTTTAAAATTTTTGATGTTTCAACTTTTTGAATTTTAGATTTGTCGATTTTTCAATTTTTCCAATTTTTAAATATTACTCACATTTTTGTTGTTTCGATTTCTCGGTCTCTCGAGTTCTCGGTTTTTCAATTTTTCGATGTTTAAAATTTTAGATGTTTGAATTTTCAATTTTTTGGTATTTAAATTTACCGGTTTTTCAGTTTTTCGATTTTTGAGATTTGAGATTTTCCGATTTTTGAATATTTTGAAATTTCGATGATTCGATTTTCGATTTTTGGGTTTTTCGATGTTTCAATTTTTGAATTTCCCAATTTTTCGTCTTTTCAGTTTTGAAATATTTTAATTTCTCGATTTTTCAGTTCTTTGATTCTTCTATTTTCCCATTTTTCAATGTTTGCGATTTTATGAGTACATATTTAGATTTTTCAGTTTTTCAATTACATGTTCGATGTTTGAAATTTTTGATTTTCCGATTTTTCAATGTTTCAATTTTTAACTTTTCGATTTTGTAATATTTCGATTTCTTAATTTTTCAACTTCTCGATTTTTCCATTTCCGATTTCTCGATTTTTTGATGTTTTAATTTTTGAATATTTATAAATTTCGATGTATCGATTTTCCGATTTTTGGGATTTTCGATTTTCCAATTTTTCGATGTTTCGATTTTTCAATTTTTCGTCCTTTCAGTTTTAAAATATTTTAATTCTTCGATTTTTCAGTTTTTTTGGGTATTCAATTTTCCCATTTTTCAATTTTTTACTTTTCGATTTTGGCCTCTTTCGATTACTTATTTTTTCGATTTTTCGACTTCTCGACTTTCCGGTTCGGTTTTTGAATTCTTCGATGTTTCAATTTTTCGATTTTCAGTTTTTTGATTTTTGGATTTTGCGAATTTTTCATTTTTCAATTTCTCAATTACTCGATATTCCAGTTTTGATATTTTGCATTATTTGGATTTTTAATTTTTATAGATTTCCCAATTTTTCACGATATCAGTTTTGAAATATTTTAAATTTTCATTTTTTTTAGTTTTTTGATTTTTCAATTTTTAACTTTTCGATTTTTCAATTTTGGCCTCCTTCTAGTTTCAGTTTTTTGATTTTTGAATTATTCCATTTTTATTATCTTTCAATTTCTCAATTACTCGATATTTCAGTTTTGGAATTTCGCAATATTTCGATTCTTCAATTATGTACTCGATTTTTCGACTTTTTAGATTTTTATATTTTTCGACTTTTTGATGTTTCGATTTCTGGATTTTTCAATTTTTAGATATTTTAAATCTTAGATTTTTCGATTCGTCAATTGTTTGACATTTAAAACTTTTATTTTTCAGTTTTTCGGTTTTTAAATTTTCCAATTTTTCTGTTTTTCGATTAATCAATTTTTCGATGTTTTTGGATGTTCCGATTTTTCAATTTTTGGATTTTCCAATTTTTCGTCATTTCACTTTTGAAATTTTTTAATTTCTTAATTTTCAGTTTTTTAATTCTTCAATTTTCCCATTTTTCAATTTTTGCGATTTTTTAAATTTTGGTTTTTCAATTTCTCGGTTTTTCAATTTCTCATTTTTTTCCATATTTTTCATTCTTCAATTTCTCCATTTTTCAATCTTTCAATTCTCTAATTTTTTTGGTATTTTAATTTTTCAATTTTTTAAATATTTTAAGTTTCTCGATCAATCGATTTTCCTATTTCTCGATTTCTCGACTTCTCAATGTTTCAATTGTTCAGTTTTTCATTTCTTCGATTTTTCAGTGTTTCTTCAATTTTGCAATTCCCCGATTTTTGCATTTTTCAGATCTTCGATTTTTCAATTTTTTATATTTTTAAAATGTTGGGTTTTTCGGGTTTTTGATGTTTCGATTTCTCGATCTTTCGATTTTTTGATTTCTCGGTTTCAATTTTTCATGATTAAAATTTTCGATTTTCCGTTTTTTCAATTTTTCAATTTTTAACTTTTCGATTTTATCCTCTTTCGATTTCTGAATTTTTCGATTTTTCGGCTTCTTTTCCATTTCTCGATTTCTCGATCTTTTGATGTTTTAGTCTTGGAATGTTTGAATATTTCGATTTTTCGAAATTCTGATTAATTTGACATTTCAGTTTTGAATTTTTTTAATTTCTCTATTTTTTAGTTTTTTGATTATATTCAATTTTCCCATTTTTCAATTTTTGCGACTTATAAATTTTGGATTTTCGATTTTTTGGTTTTTCGATTTTTCAATTTTTTTTAGATTTTTGATTCTGTAATTTTTTGGTACTTTAATTTGTGTATTTTTTAAATTTCTCGATTTTTCAATGTTTCGATTGTTCGGTTTTTCATTTCTTCGAATTTCCAATTTTTCGATTTTTTAGTTTTTCTTTAATTTGTCAATTTTTCGATGTTCAGTTTTTTATTTTTAAATTTTTTCCATGTTATTATTTTTAATTTCTCAATTACTCGAGATTTCAGTTTTGGGATTTTGCAATACACATTCTTTAATTATTCGATTTTTGGATTTTTCAATTTTTCGATACTTTAAATCTTAGATTTTTCAGATTTCTGTTTCGATTTCTTGAACTCTCAACTTCTAGGTTTTAGATTTTTCGGTTTTTCAACTTTTTGATGTCTAAAACTTCTGATTTTTCAATTTTTCGATATTAAAAATTTTTGAATTTCCGATTTTTTTATTTTTAGTTTTTCGATTTTTCAATTTTTCAATTGCTAACTTTTTGATTTTGCTCTACTTCGATTCTCAAATTTTCGATTTTGCGACTTCTCGACTTTTCCATTTCTCGATATTTTGACTTTTCAATTTCTCGATGTTATATTTTGAATATTTCGATGTTTCAATTTTCGATTTCTCGATTTTCCAATTTTTGAATTTCCCAATTTTTCCTCATTTCACTTTTGAAATTTTTTAATCTCTCGATTTTCAGTTTTTTGATTCTTCAATTTTCCCATTTTTCAATTTTTGTGACTTTTTAAATTTTGGATTTTCGATTTCTCGATTTTTCTTTTTTTTATTATTGAACTTTCAAATTTTCGATATTTTTAATTGTTCAATATCTCAATTTTGATTTTTCAATTTTTGATTTTTTAGTTTTGCTTTAATTTTTCAATTTTTTGATATTTCAGTTTTGGGATTTTGTATATTTCGATTTCCCGATTTTTCGCGTTTTAAATTTTAGATTTTAAATTTTTTTGATGTTTCGATTTCTCGATTATTGGATTTTTTATATCTTCGATTTTTCAATTTTTTGTATTTTTAAATCTTAGGGTTTTCAAGTTTTTGACGTTTTGATTCCTCGATCTTTCGACTACTCGGTTTCAGATTTTTCGGTTTTTCAATTTTTCGATGATCAAAATTTTTAGCTTCGCGATTTTTGGATTTTTAACTTTTCGATTTTATCCTATTTGAATTTCAAAATTTTTCGATTTTTCGGCTTCTGGATTTTTCCATTTCTCGATTTATCAATCTTTTGATGATGCAATTTCTCGATGCTTTAGTTTTTGAATATTTTGAATATTTCGATTTTTCTATTTCTCATTCGTTTCAGTTTCAAAATTTTTTAATTACTTTATTTTTCAGTTTTTTGAATATTCAATTTTTGCGACATAAATTTTGGATTTTCGA